TCCGGAAGCGGCGATCCGGGCACCGCCTGCCGGCCCGAGCACGCGCAAAGCTGGAGCGGGGCGAGCGTTCCTCGTTCCGGGGTTTGAGCGGCAGTCGTCACGGCCAATTGGAGGGGAGGGGCCGGCGGCGACGGGACTCGCTCGAAGGCGCCCGGAGGAAGAGGCGGGGGGAAGCGCGGCAACCGGTCTGCCGTGCGAGCCAATCGGCGTGCCGGGCGGGGCGGGGCCCGCCAAGCGGCGGAGCGGCCCGGTTTCGCTGCGCGACACGGAGGGGCCTTGGCGCTGCTGGCCCAGGCTCCGCAGCGTCTCTGGAGCCTCGCGGCCCCCGGGGGCACCCGAAGTCCCGGTCCTGGTAACGACGCGCAGGCCCTCCTCCAAACCCCATCTCCAGGTCGTGCCCTTTCTCCATCCTCTCCTGCAGCCCTGCCCTTTTCCGTTCCCGGTCCCTTTCGTCAGCGTCTCCCTTCGAATCCCAGCCCCCCCACCCGCTGAAGACCTCTCGTTTCCCGTGCACCTCCAGTGCCGTACCCTCCCTTTTCCGACGTTGCCTTTCCTCAAAGCTCAGCCCCTCACCCTGCCACCAGCCCGCCCGTTTTCTAGCCCCCCCGGTCCTCTCGGGCTCTCTCTTTTCCCAGCGATGTCCTCAAAATCCTGCCCCCCTTAATACCCTGCAGTCCTCCCCCCAAATGTCCTGTAAGCCCTCTCCTGTGTCCCCCAGGGTCTCCCATGTCCCAGGCCCCCCACTCCCATACCCTAGGGCCCCCTTTCCCCTCTCCTATGTCCCCCCTTTCTCAGACATCTTTCCATCCCATAGCGTTCTCATCTCGTGCCTTAATTTCCTCTGCTTTCTCAGATGCTTCCACCACAAATCCTTGTCCCCCTCACCCAAACCCTTTAGGCCCCCCTCCTTCCTCTGGTCACTCCCCTCCATTTTTTCACCCTGTCTCCAGTGTCTCCTGATTTCCTGGTATCCCCCCTTTCTCATCCCTTAGGACCCACCAGTCCCAAGCCGCCGTTTGCCACAGGCGGCTCTCAGGCAACCATGGAGGACCCACGGTGCCTGCAGGCCAACTGCTTCTTCCGTGGCAAGGAGCACAGCATCCAGCTGAGTGTGAGCCAAGCAGTGCTGGAGGTGGAGGTGCAGGAGCGCCGCAGCACCAAGCGCTGGCGGGGCCGCTTTGATGCTGCCTGTGAGCTGCCCAGGGGTCTCCAGAGTGGGTCCCTGAGACTCTCAGCCCTTGACGATCTCCCCTGTCCACAGCTGTTGAGGACCTGACGCGCAAAACGGGCAACTTCAAGCAGTTTGGGATCTTCTGCAGCATGCTTGAAGCAGCACTGATGAAGGTGGGGTTGTGCTGGTTTTGGGAGCCAGAGGGGGGGATGTCTGGGGATCCCAATCCTCCTGTCCCACTCCACAGAGCAGCGAGGCTGTCAGCCTGGAGCTGCTCACCTACGGTGACCTGGAGGCCCTGCGGTGCTGTAAGGCAGGGGTGGCAACACATGTCCCCCCCTCAGCCTCGCCACTCAGCAGCAAGCGGTACCTCATCCTCGTCTACTGCGTTGAATTTGACAGGTGACAGGGGGGCACCATGCAGGGGTGGCAAAAGGTGGGGACACTGAGAGGGGGTCACCCAGCAGGGGCACCAAGGGGCCAAGAACGCTGGCATGGGGACAGTGAGGGGCTGGGCGTCAGCGTGGGGCTGGGGGCACCAAATGAGGAGGTGGCATGGGATCAGGGACATTGATGGGGGGACGCGGAGGGGCTGGAGATGCCAGTGGGGATGCACTGCGCCACTGAGGAGAGTGATGGGACAGTAAGGCTGGGGACCTGGTTGCACTGACACTGCGGTGTCTGTGTTCCCCAGGATCCACTACCCGCTGCCGTTGCCCTACCGTGGTGAGGCAGACGTGGCTGCGCTGCGACACCTGGTGCAGGAGCAGCAGGACGAGCTGGCGCACCTGCGGGACGAGTGAGTGCAACTGCCCCACATGTCCCTTCTGTGGCATTATCAGTGAGACAAAGGGACAGCATGCCGTGCGTTGCGCAGGCTGCGGTGGGCGCAGCAGGAGGTGTGGAGGCTGGAGGACAAAAGGCTGCGGGATGAGGCCTGGCATCAGCAGGAGCAGCAGCGGATGACCAAGGAGGTATGTGGGATGAGGCTGGGGACATGAGTGTGCCGCTGCACTGTCACGGCTCTGCTATGGCTCCTTCTCCAGCTGGCAGAGGTGAAGGCGGCTGAAAAGATGCTGCGGGCACATGTGAATATGCTGACGGCTGAGTTGGTGGCGTGCAGGAAAGGGTAAGGTGGTGATAGCGCTGGGAACAGGACCAGGAACAGCAACGTCACGTCCCCCATCCCCACATCACCACATCTGTCCTTCCCACAGGCGCAGCACATCAGCCACAGCACCAGGCCCCCCGCGGAATCGCCACCGCTCTAACTCCCGGGACAGCCGCAGTAGTAGCCAAGGCCGCCTGCCACCACGGTCCCCATCTCCTGCAGGTGAGAGACATGGGGACGTGGGGACCTTCCTGGGACCCCATGCCAATGTTCTCCCTCCCCTTCTGTTTTCCCTAGGTTCACGGCCACCGCGCTTCAACCCCACAGCCTTTGTGAGAGCCCGCGAGCAACAGCGGCAGGAGGCTGAGCTCCGAAGGTCAGTGGTGCCACAGCTGTGCCACAGTGCCCTCACTCACTGACAGTTTTTTTTGGAGGGCTAGGGGAAGGCACCTCTCTGCTCCCCGCAGCAAATGATTCCCTGGGTGCAGGCAGAAGCTGCCACGTGGGACAGTGTCAAATGGTGACGACTGTAAGAGGAGGTGCAGGCGCAGCTCTTCGGGTAGGTGGAGGGCACTTCGGGTTTGAGGGACACTCAGTGGGCCTGGGGCGCTCAGTACATCTGAGTGACACCCAGCAGGTCTGGGGGCACTTACTAGGTCTGGGTCTGCCCTCAAACCTTCCATCAAATTCTCTTTCCCTCCAGCTGAAAGTTTCCAGAGCCAGCGCTCAGCACTGAGCTCAGGCAGTGAGGCTGGCACATGTCCCCAGCGCCGCAGGTCAGTGATGGCATTCCCTCTAAGCACTGCAGTCCCCTCCTGGCTACTGTGGTCTGCTTGCACTCCTGCTTTCTTAACCACTTCTTTCCTACAAAGCAGGGGCTTGGGGGGTCCTAGCACCCGGAGTCCACTGAGTGCTTCGTCCTGCAACAGCACTAGTGTGGTGAGTGACTGGAGGGGCAGTGGTGACAGCAGGGAGTGACAGTGACACCGGGAGGGGGAAACCGGGTTGTGTGCCATCACCACCCTCTTCCCCTACAGGCATCTCACCTGGATAGGGGCCGCAAACAGCAGGGGAAAGGTGAGCCCCTCATCCTGCTCTTATGCCAGTCCCCTGGCCTCATTTTATTTATTTATTTTTTTTCCCCCCACCCATTTTTCTTTCCTCCCTCTGCAGAGAACCTGGGCACAGAGTCCTCAGCCACACTGTCTGAAATTGATGCCCGGCTTCAAGCCCTGCAGGTCTACATCAGCACCCTGGGCACTCACACGTGAGCCCCCCAGGGGCCACCAGAAGCTCGCCTCAGAGGGACCAGACCCAGGCATTGGTGTGCCACGAGGCCACCGGTGCCCAGGCTGTGTCCTGACTGTCCCCCAGAGGGAACAGCACTGGCAGGATGTGGTGTAATAAATACCTTCATGGCTGTGTGGGACAAGCAGTCTGTGTCTTTATCCTTCTCCTCCCCCCTGCTGACAGGATGGGGAGTTGGCACCTGGCTCCTAGACCGCACTGTCCCATGGCCCCACACCTCGCCAATGCCCCTGAAGTCTTGGCCTCAGGAACCATCCTGAGTCTTCAGCTCCGATCCTCAGGGTTGTGGAGCCATGGCATTCAGGAAGGACTTGGATTGGGAGGGGCCTTACAAGCCCCTCTTACTGTGGATGGGTTACCCCCTACCAGATCAGGATGCCCAGGGCCTCATCAAGGACTGGCCTGGAGCACTTCCAGGGACGGGTCAACCCCAGCTTCTCTGCACATCCTGTGCCAGTGCCTCATTGCTCTCCCTCCGAGAAAAGAATTTTTTCCTAACCTCTAACCTAAATCTCCCCTCTTTTAGCTTAAAACTCTTCCCCCTTTTCCACTCGCTATCAGACCATGTAAAATGTTGATCTCCCTCCTGCTTTGTAAGCTCCCTTTACATATTGGAAGGCTGTAATGAGGTCTCTCCCCAGAGCCTTCTCTTCTCCAGGCTGAACACCCCCAGCTCCCGCTGCCTGTCTTTGTGGTAGAAGTGCTCCCGGCCCTCTGAGCATCTTTGTGGAACTGCCCTGACACAAATGCAACAGCATAAGCCTGCACTTTGCCTTGTTAAACCTCAGTAAGTTCCTTTGAGCCCCCTATTCAAGCCTCTCCAAGTCTCTCTGAACAGCATCCCCTCCTGCATTATCAACCGCAGCGCTCAGCCTGGTGTTATCAGCAAACTTGCTGAGTGTGTGTTCAGTCTTGCTGGGTTATTAACAAAGTTGTTGAAGAGCACCGGTCCCAAGACAGAAGCCTGGGGGACACCACTTATCACTGGCCTCCACCTGGACAAAGAACCACTGACCACAGCCTTATGGCTATGACCAACCAACCAACTCCTTATCCACAGTAGAGCCTGTCCAGACGTAGATCCTTATCTGCAATTTGCAGATAAGGATGTGGTGTGGGACCGTATCGGAAGTCCAGGTAGATTATGTCAGCTGCCCTTCCTTTGTCCACCAAGGCCATCACTCCATCACAGAAGGCCACTGGATTCATCAGGCACAATGTGCCCTTGGTGAAACCGTGCTGGTTGTCTTGGATTGCTTCATCTTTCTCGTGTCTTAACATCGCTTCCAGGAGGATCTGCTCCACAATCTTCCCAGGTGCAGGTGCAGACATGAGGATCCCACAGTTCCCCGAGTCTTTTACCCTTCTTAAAAAACGGGTCTGATGTTTCCTTTTTTCCAGGTGGACTTCACCTGACAGTTACAGCTCTTCAAACATGATGGAAAACAACTTGGCAACCACAGCAGCCAGTCCTGTCAGAGCCCTGGGATGCATGTTGTCCAGACCCATAGGCTCGTACACGTTAAGTTTTGTAAGGTGGTCTGAAAACTCTATTTGATTCAGCGTGCTCTTATTTTCCCAAGCATTGTCAGAGACTTTTGTTGTTGTTGTTTTTTTTTTCCCACTTGTATTTGGACGAGGCTGTCCATGACTGTGTGCAGATAAGATTTCCCACCATCACTTCTGCGTCTGATCTCTTTAGAGAAGACGCTAATAGAAGACAAAAATTACTGACGTCTGCACAAGACGTTGAGATATAAAACGTTCCTTTTGTTTCTTATGTCCACTGGCATGGCAAGCAGTCTAGTCTGTCACATCAGCAGTCAACACATATGAGCAAGAGGGTAAGTGGGGCTGGCTTGAAATGATGGGAAGGGCAGCAGTTTCAGTGGCAGCTGTGGAAATGGCTGCAGTCCAGTAGCAAAACCATTCTCACTTGGGTCAGTCGTCTGTGTAGCTGCTACAGAGCTGCACGATGCAGGGAGCCAGGCACTTGCTGCTCTGTTTGTATGAGACAGCGGTGAATAGAATGACCATGCGGGATTTTGGTGGCTGACATCACCTCCAGAAGTGTAGGGGTGCTTTGAGTATCGAGGGGCCGGGGTTGCAGGCAATCTTCCTCCAGGGACACATGTTCCCTTGGGTTGCCATTGCCTGAGGGCATTGGGGCTGCGCCAGCTCTCCCGACAGTGCCAGGGCAGGTGGCAGGAGCTTGGGGTGGGTTGTGCATCCCCTGGTTACATCCCCCACAGCTGATGGCGGCATTCGTGATGTGTCTCCGTGGTTGATTCCACATCCCCACGATACGGCCCCATGGTGGCTGATGTGTCCCCATGCTGGGTGATGCGATCCCACGGTGTGTCCCTGTGGTGAGGACATGCTGCTCGTGATGTGTCTCTGTGATGTGTCCCCATATTGGGTGATGTGTCCCCGTGCCACATCCTCATGTCACCTTACTCAGCCGCTGGGTGAAGAGGAGGCAGCACTGCTGCAGCACCTCCAGGCCATCCAACAGCTCCAGCAGCACCGCATCCCGTGCCATCATGGTGACTATCAAAACCAATGTGTTCATGAGAAGACCCTCCCAAAATAAGCAGGTAAGCAAAGGAAACTTGCCAATACAGGCGTGTAAGCAGAGAGAACCCGCCAGTACAGACAACCCTATCAAAAGATACATCAATGTAGGAACGTATCGAAACAAAGTGTGTCAACGTGAGAGAAGCTACCAAAGCGACCTTGTAAACAAACCTCGTGACAGAAGACCTTACCAAGATAACTGGCACAGACGACCATAAAGAGCACCCTACCAAAGCCAAGCCCACAAAAACATCCTCTTGGGTACCATACCAAAGCGATCCCTGTGAACAAATCCCAACATGGGAGATCCCACCTGGTCAAGCTCCCTAGTAAATACACACATGGGAGACCCTACCAAGCATCCTCTCACGTAAAGACAATAACGTAGTAGATCCTGCCAGACCAACCTTGTAAACGAACTCCATAATGGGAAATCAGACCAAAGCAAATCCCATTGTGATTGATAGCCCCTACCAAAACCACCTTCGTAAAAAAAACTCCACCAGGGGATGTTTCTATGGTTCTACGGGAGTCCTGACCAAAAATAACCTCGTGTAAACAGACACGGAGATCATACCACAAAAGAACCCCATCAGCGCGACCCCACAGGATACTACACACACACTACCGTCCTCACACTTCCGCCCGCCTCTGCCGCCTCGCTCCCTGCCACAGCCTCCTCCAATCGAAGCCGTGATTTCCGCCGTTTCACCAATGGAAGCGCGCGTTGCGGCGCGGGGCGGGACCTCGCTGGGGGCCGGCCGCCAAGCGAACGAAGCCCGTTCGGCGGCCATTTTGGATGAGGGCACCGCGCCGCCGTCCCCGGCCGTCGCATCGGAGGCGCCTCGCCAGCACGAAGCGCTCCGATTGGTCCTCGCCACCCGAACCAATCAACGGTGACGGTGTTTGGAGGCGCCGGCGCGAGGAGAGCGGCGCGGCTGCAGCCATGGTACGAGGCGCCGGTTGTCGCGGTGGGGTCGCGGGGGCCGTTTCGTCCCTGCGGCATCTCCCGTCCCCTCGGTGTCCCTTTTCACTCCCCGGCGGCCCCGCGTCCCTTTCTGCCGCCCCCGTGCCGTCTCCACGCCCTGCTCGGTGTCTCCGCATCCCCTCGCTGCCGCAGGGCCGCGAGGCCGTTTCGGTGCTGCCGCGTTCCTCTTCGGCGCCCCGGCGCTTCTCGGCGTCACCGCGTCCCTTTTTTATGTCCTCCCGTAGCCGCCCGCGTTCCCTGGACTGTCGCTACGGCTCCTTCTCGCCGTCCCCGGGTCCCCGTTAGCGTTTCCGCGTCCCTTCTCGGTCTCCCTTCCCCTCGCCGCGCCCCTGTCGCGTCCCTCCGGCTCCGTCCTCGCGTCCTCTCGGCGTGCCGCGTCTCCGGCGGTGTCCCCGCGTACCTCCGCAGGATCCTCAGCTCTCCTTCCCCCCGTGCCCCCGCCCCCCATTGTCTCTCTGTCTTCCTCGCCGTCACCGCGTACCCCGGTCTTAGCTTCGCCGCCAGGCCCGTGAGCGCCGTGAGTACTTGCAGCGCCGGGCGCAGGAGGAGCGTCTGCGGCGGCAGCAGGACAAGAAGGAGCGGCTGCGACAGGCCCTGGATGGTGAGGGCGAATCTGGGGGGGGAGGGGAAGGGGGCAGGTAGAGCTTGCCCAAGGGCAGATGAGGGGTGTGGGTGCCTCATATGGGGGCTGTGGGGATAAATATGGGATGAGAGGTAAGTTATGGCGTGGACAAGGGTAAATCTGTGGTGCATGGGAGCAGATGTGGGATCTAATGGGCAAACAGGGGCATGGGGGCAGATGTGAGGTATGCGGGAGCTAATATGTGGCAGCAAATACAGGGTCCAGAGGGAGCACGTGTGAGCCAAACAGGGCGTATGAAGGGGCAAGTTAGGGGACAGATTTGGGGTGGGAAGGCAGATATGGGGGCTGCGGGGGTAAGTATGGGGACTCTAGAGACAGACATGAAGTGGATGGGGAAACGTAGGATAAGTGAAACAAATATGGACTGATGGGCAAACTTGTGGAGAGGCGGTAGGATAAATACAGAATGTTGTGGAGCAGAGAAAGGGTTTTGAGAGGCAAAATGGTGGTTGTTGAGGTAAACATGGTGGATGTAGGGGCAAATGAGGGGCATGGGGATAAGTTAGGGGTGCAGAGAGGGGAAGTATCACACAAGGGGGCGAATTTGGGGTGTGCAGGAGCAAATGTGGGATGTGAAGGGGGCAGTATGGCCTGCAGAACACAGAGGAGGAGCTTTGAAGGGGTTCTGGTTTGGATTACAGAATATTTAGGGTTCCTTCCATCGTCTTCTCCCACACAATTTTTATCTCCCCTCCCCAGAGAACCGACTGCTGCCTACTGAGCTGAGGCGCCAGGCGCTGGCCTTGCAGAAGGAGCTGGAGTTTGAGACGCCAGGGGAAAATGGTGAGTGAGAGAATGCTCCAAGTTGCGGTAGAAATGAGGCAGGGATCAGCAGAAATCTGTGACCTCAAGGAGCAAGTGATTTACCTGGATGGACCCTACAGTTAGGAGGGTGCTTGGGTGAATTCTCCTCAGAATGAAGGATAGGCTTGGTTCGTTCTCACTTCAGTGGTATGTGGAGACAGGATAAGGGGAAACGGACACAAGCTGCAGCATAGGAAGTTTTGAACGAATGTGCGCAAGAACTTCTTTAGGTGAGGGTGATGGAGCACTGGAACAGGCTGCCCAGGGGGATTGTGGAGTCTCCTTCTCTGGAGATGTTCAAGTCTCGCCTGGATGCCGACCTGTGCAACCTGGTGTAGGGAACCTGCTTTGGCAGGGGGGTTGGACTCGATGATCTCTGGAGGCCCCTTCCAACTCCTACAATTCTGTGATTCTCACAGTTGGGGGATTTGCTGTGATTTTGGCAAAATTACATTTACCCAAGTTGTGCCCAAAACGAGGAGTGGATTTGCCTGAATGTTTCCCAAAGTGGGGAACAGATTTCTTCAATTCCTCTTGAAATGAAGGGCATGTTTTTATGACCCTCCCCTGCAAGCTGAGAACAGATTTTCCTCAGTTCCTCTCAGAATGGCAGTGTGTTTGTCCGGATTCCTCCCCAGATGGGGAGTGGGCTTTTATGATTCTTCCCCAAAGTGGGGAGCAGATTTGCCCTATTTTTTTCTTAAAATTGGGAGTGGATTAGGCTGAATCAGTCTCAAAAATCTCTGAGTCGTTCCTAAACTGGGAAACAGGTTCTCCTAAAGTGGCAAACAGGTTTTCCTCAGTTTCTCTCAAGATGAAGAATGAGTTTGGCTGAATCTTCCTCAACAGAGGGAGCGGATTTGCCCAGTTCTCAAAATTGGAGGTAGATTTTCACAGCTCTCTCCCCAGGGGGGTGGGTTTGCCCTGCCTGCGTACTCCCTGCTGAGGGGGGCGTCCTAACCAAGCCCTGCCCCTAGGTGTGACGGGCAGCCAGGACGATGAGTACCGGTGGGCAGGGCTGGAGCCGCCCAAAGTGATGGTGACAACCTCGCGTGACCCCAGCAGCCGCCTCCGTGTCTTTGCCAAGGTGGGTGATGGCCTCACTTGTTGGTGAGGCTCACGGATGGAGTCTGGCCTCGGTGACACGGGTGGGGCTTTGGGTTGGCTCCACCCCCAGTCTTTGTGTTTTGTTCTTCAGGTTGGGTCTGGAGTGGGGTGTAAGGTGGGTGAGCGGAGCTTGGATGGTGCTCCCCGTGGGCCTGAATCCACACTAGGATGTGGGCGAGGAGCTCATTGGGGTGGGTGGAGCGTTTATTGGCACGGTTGAGGTAGTAGGCATGCTTCTTGACCTGCTTCACCCCCAGGAGCTGTGCCTGGTGATCCCAGGGGCTCGGCGGCTGAACAGGGGCCGGGCAGAGGTGGGGGCCCTGGTGAGTGCGTGCCGGGCGGCTGGCGTCACCGACCTGCTGGTACTGCATGAGACCCGCGGACAGCCTGGTGAGATGGGGTGAGGGCTTGGAAAAGGGGTGAGGGCGCAGGAGGTGCCCTGTGCTGGGGAAAAACGTGGTTTTGAGGGGCCTGTGTTGGGCGGGGAAAGGGGGAGGGTGATGCGTGAGGGGTAGGGTTAATGGGAAAAGCCTTTGCTAATGCAAAGGAGTGAGCTGTGGGGAGGTGCGCAGGACTAAGGGGGCGGGCACAATGATGGAAAGAGGCCTCTCTGACACACACCGCTGTCCCCAGATGGGCTGGTTCTGTGCCACCTGCCCCATGGCCCTACAGCCCACTTCACGCTGAGCGGGGCTGTGCTGAGGCATGAGGTGGGGGGTCTTGGTGGTGCTCCGCTAGGAGCACCGCACATCTTGCTGCACCGACTGGACAGCGCGCTGGGACGTCGGGTAAGGGGATGCAGAGGCATTGCAGGACACAAGGGGGGCGGGGAGGGACACGGGTACGTGGGGACACGGAGATGTGGGCGTGGGGTTGATGGGGGCACTGGGGATGTGATGGGTGCAGGGACATTGGGACTTCAGAGGACATGGAGATATGGGGGGACACGAGGACATAGAGGGATGTGGGGATGTGGAGGGACACGTGGCACAGGGGATGTGGGGACGCTGGGAGATGTATGAGAATGTGGAGGGGCATTGGGATGTTGGGGAACTTGGGATGTGAGGGACGTGGGGGACATGGAGGGACTAAGAAACCTGGAGGATATGGGAACTTCGGAGAGTATGGGGAACACTGGGGGAATGTGGGAACGTGGAGGGACGTGGTGACGTAGTGGAGCGTGGTGACACGGGGACAAAGGGAGGGATAATGAGGGACGTGGAGACTGGGACACTGCAGGGAACGTGGGCAGCAGGCAGCACACCATGGTGACAGTGTCCTTGTGCCTGTTCCTCAGCTGGGGACTATCCTCAAGCACCTGTTCCCTGTCCCCCGGCCCCAGACCCGCCGCGTGGTGACTTTTGCCAATGAAGATGACGTCATTCTTGTCCGGTGGGAATGGAGGGTGACCCGGGTGGGACAGGGATGCTGGGAAGGATGTCACATGTACTTTGGGAGGCAGTGGGGATATTGTGGAGACACAGGGGACGTGGATGGGGTTAAAGAACCTTGGGAACTTCTAGGAAACAGTGGTGTCCTTGCAGGAACCACGTTTACCGGCGGCAGGGGAAGACAGTGGAACTAGAGGAGGTGGGACCCCGCTTCCAGCTACGCCGTGAGTGTTCACAAGTGTCCCCGTGGCCTTCCCAGACCCCTCAGCACCTTCTATCCCTTTCCCTGAGCCCTAATTGTCCCTACTGCCTGACACCCTCTGCTTATGTCCATGCCTTTTGTTAACCCTCATTTCCCTCCATGTGTTCCCACATCTTCCAGTGCGTCTCCAGGGTGTCCCCAGCATGTCCCCTGTCCCCTCGTGTCCCTGTGTTCCCTGTGCCTGTTATCTTCTCACGTATCCACAGCATTTCCCCACAGCCCAGTGTTCTCTCATATCTCCTCTGTGTGTAGGTCTCCAACGTTTGTCCCATGTCCCCAGTGGCCTCCTATGTCCCTGGACATGTCCCCAGCATGTTGCATGTACCCCACATGCTCCTATCTCCAACATTTGCCCCATGTCCTCATTGTCCCCAGTGTTCCCCCTTGTCCCTCCTTGCCCTAGCATGTCTCCATGTCCCCATATCCCTGTGTTCTCCATGTCTTCATTAAGTCTCCACATCCCAAATGTGTTCCTATCATCTGTATTTTTGTCCCCAACATGGCTCCGTGTCCCCCAAATCCCATGTCCCCCATATCCCTGTGTCCTTTAATGTGGCCGTGTTCCCATATCCCATGTAACCCCATGTCACTATTGTGTTCCCGTTTCCCCATTTGGCCCCTCTGTCCCTCATAACCCCGTGTGCCCATGTTTTCCATGTACCTTCATGTCCCCAGTATGTTCTGTTCATGTTCCCCATGCCCTGGTATGTCCTCGTGCTCCGACCTGCCTCACCATGTTCCTGTGTTTCCCACATCTCCATCACATGTCCCATGCCACAACAGCTTCCCATTATGTCCCCTGTGTTCCACCATGTTCTTCTATCCCCAACGTGTCCCTTGTGTTTCCATGTCACCGGTGTGTTCCTGTCATGTCCACCATGTCCCTAGCATGTCCTTGTGTCCTCAGCCTGTCCTTGTGTCCTCCAGATCGCCGCATCCCCTTGTCTCCCATGTATCAGTGTGTCACCATAGCGTCCCCCATGTCCCCCTCAAGTCTCTTTGTGTCCCCATCGCGTCCTCCTCTTCCTCATATTCCCAGCGTATCCCCATCCTGTCCTTATACCCTTGTTGCATCCCATGGGTCCCCATCATGCCTCTGATGTGTCCCATCTCCCTGCAGCCTACCTGATCCGCCTGGGGACCCTGGAGCAAGGGGATGCTGCTGATGTGGAATGGCGTTGGCATCCCTACACTGCCACTGCCCCCAAGCGCCATCTGCTGAGTGCCACCTAGTGCTGTTGCCTTCCGTTGCCCTCACCACTGGCATCCTGCTGGCCCAGATGACATTTTCAATAATATATTTTCTCCCACTTCTTCCACACCAAAATCTCATTTGTTGCCTGTGGGCAACATCTTCAGTGTCGTCCTGTAGGGATGCAGAGGGGCACTGCCTTGTAGGTTTAGAGCTGCAGCTCTTACAGGATGTCACGGTGTTGACTAGATCAATCTATGTCTGTGACAGGGGCGACAGGCCTCTGCCCTCCCCCCCCACCCCAGTCCCACAAAAAGTGGGAAGGAAGGAAGGGAGGAAAAGAGCAGCGGCAACAATCTATGGAGGAAAACTTATTTTACTATAATATTGGAATACAAGATAACACAATATATACAAGTTAATTGAAATTGAGATTAATAAATCAGACAAGATGAGAGAGAGAGAGTTCCCGGGACCGATTCAAACCTGAAAAGCTTGGAACGGCTGGGAAAGCACCTCCAGCACCCACTGCCAGGCAGCAAGAGAGCGCCCCCCCCACCCGGAAGGGCCAGATCCCATGACTTCTGTAATGTACAGGGATAGGTACTGGAATTGGGGCAGTGACACTTTAATACCCCATACACTACATGATGTTTTGATGTGGAATACTGAAATCCAAAAACAAAAAAAAACATAGAACCATGACACAGGAACTGTTGGATGAATAGGGGACAGAGGTGCCACATAGGGTGGGGCAGTTGTATTGGCTCTATAGGGTCCCTGAGGTGTAACTCCGTAGGAACAGCAGGGGCCCCCGTGGGTCTGTAGACCCTCCAGGCTCTTTGCAGCTTCTTCATTTACCTGGCCTGTCAATGCCAGGGCAATTGCAATTCCCCGCTGGATACTGCTCATTTATGTGGAGGTTTTCTGGAGTTGCTGACAGAAGATTCCTGCTTCTCCTTCACCCAGAGGTTGGTAACAGCCAAGACAGCACTGCTCACTGTCACTCACCTCACCGAATTCTCCACGCGTCCTCATTCCCAAAAGCTACTTACCTGTTCTTCAAAAACTTTTGTTTTCTCGCAGAGCAGCTCTGTCCATATGAGCTGCCTGTTCTCACGGGGCATCCTCATCCCTTCCTCATCCTCCCTGCCACTGTGTCTAGCAGAGCCTGTATCCCTCCATTGCAATGCCCCAGGTGAGCGAGATGCCCCACCCCATTCCGTTATTTCCAGAGCATCCCAGCAGTGTCACAGGAGGCAGGGCTGTGGGTGCTGTGCTACCATACTCAAAAGATGTGCAGAGATGACTCTTCTTCAGTGCCTCCCCTCTTCAGGGTATTTCTCTGGGGTGTCCTGCTGGGCTGCAAGCTACCCACCAGACATATACACCTTTCCTGTACGATCTCTGCGCTATTGAGTTCCATGGAGAAGGTGTTCTGCTACGCCTGCAGAAATGAATCTCTATGTGGGCAGCTGCAAGGAGCTGTCTGTGTGTCTGCCTAGAATAGGAGAGCTAAGATCTGCCTTAGGTATTCTGAGAAAAGCTGAGGAACTTCTTGTTCTGCACTTTGGAATGGGATTTGCCTGCCCTCAGCAGCATCTGATTTGTTTCTCAGGTAATGCCTTGTAAAGACCCTTCAGCCCAAAGGAGTGTAAGAGCCAGGCAAAGCTGTTGTGCTGACGTGCACTGGGTCTGTTTACTCTGCACTACGGCAGAGTCCCTTTACCTGTCCAGAACAATAAAAATCCATGACTACTGGAGGAAGGTTTTGAGAAAGACAGTAATCCTAGTCCTTCTGAAAACCAGTCTTCATTTTGAACAAATCAAACAGGAGACAGTTTGTGTAGCAGCGCTTTGGTCAGTCCGGACAGGACAAGATGAGAAAACATGCTCTAGACTGCATCTGGGGAGAGCAGCCTCACAGGAGCCTCAGGCAGAAGGCGCCAGGGGAGACTCAAGGTCAACCCTGAGGGGGGCTTTGGAGTTGAGGAAATGGGGATCTGAGGCTCCAATTCTTGGCAGCATATAAAGGAAGGGGTCCAGGCAGCTTTGGAGGTGGTTGGTGCTGAAGCACAACCCCTTTTGGCAAATGACTGCCTGAGCTGGGCTGGATGTTCAGAGGGAAAGTCCCTTCTCCACCTCATGCAGCTGGTGCTAGGTGGATCTCATGGCTCACACTGACCACGCAGCCAGGGGTGGTTACAGCAGAGGAAGCACAACTGTCAGCGCAGAGGCAAAGCTATCTGGGCTGCTGCATTATGGCAGGATGTCGCTGCCCTGGTAGAGAACGTGATTGAGCACACAGATGCCCAGGTAGCCAGATGTGCAACTGAAGAGCATCAGAACAACCAGCAGGTGGATTGGGCTGCTGGGGTTGAAGTGGCTCAGATAGATCTTGACTGGCAATGTCAGGGTGAGCTGTTTCTAGCTCAGTTGTCCTAAGTCATCTCAGGCCATTGGGGAAGGGATGTGGCACATAGATGGGATCGAGAGGCGGGCTTGGCGATGGAGAGGAGCTCCTTGAGTGCACAGCTGGTCTTTGGGTCCCTGTGGGTGCCCTTCCCAGGCCCTGGGCTGTTCCCCATGTGGCAGCCCCAACCCCGTGTCTGGAGCTTGCTCCAGTCAGCCCCACCTGAGCTTGGCGAGCAAAGTGTGCACAGACATTTACCCATGCAAATGACCACGCTCGTGTACCAAACTCCCAGGAGCAGATTTCAATAAGAAGGCAGGGCAGAGTACAACGATCAGGCAGAGGGCCTGTGCTCTCTGCTGCAGGGGTTGGGATGCACTGGGATGCACAGCATCCTACTCTGCTCCCTGTCCCAGGGCACTCAGGGTCCTTCAGGATCCTTCAAGAGCCTCCCAGCCACGTCAGCCCGGCCTACCTCTGCCTCTGTGCTGTCACAGCTCTCACGGTGCTGGTAATATTCCAGATGGTACCAGAGTAACAGTGCTGGGCAGGGAGTTTGTTGGCTCTTTGCTCTAAGCAAGGCAGAGAACTGTAGTCGTGGGTCTGAGAATTACTGGAAAAATATATGAAGATTGCTTACCACCTGAAGCGACTGAGCATTTGTACTGAAGTGTAAGTGTTTTCCCATCAACATTCTTTTTTTCTTCATGTTTATAAATAGCAGGAGAAAAAATATTTATTTCCCCTTGGACTTGGCAGTTCTGTCTCCTATGCAGTGCACTTCGTCTCCGCAGCCCTGCAGGTGTTCGCACCTGGCCTGATTCAACACTCCACGCTGGAAGTTGCCTTTCCAGCAATTCTGTGTGTGCACACTTCCCATTATTCTCCAGATTTCTCTTCCACACACTCTTTCGTCACTCACCTATCCTGTTGCTTCTTGGAACTGTAGGGATTTTAAGCTTGCTCATTTAAAGTGCTCTATCTCATTGTCCCTATGGCCATAATTATATTTCTATTTATGATTTGCAGTCTCTCTGTGTCAGATGTTCCTTGTACAGTTATACCTTGTGGAAGGTGAAACTCTATGGAGGCTCCAGGAAGAGTGATCGCCCACTCAGACGGACCCCTCCTACTGTGTCCTTTCAATCAGCTGCCAGCAATCCTGGAGGTGTCTTCTATCAAAACACAGCCTGGGAAAAAGAAACAGGGAAAATCCACTGTGAAAGGCAAAGCAAAGAAGGTGGGTCCAGCCAAGGCAGTGGAACCAAAGAGTTACAAAAAAGAACACTGAGTAGTGAAAGTCCCCGATACAGGAGGAGTGCCAGAAAATGCACAAGCAAACCTCCAGAGCCATTCTGGAACCCTGGCCCTGCAGGAAACACCAACAACATCCCTATGGTGTTGGAGCTCTGAGACCAGACTGTTCAAGGAGCCCAGCGGCAGTCAGTCTGGACCATGTCTGCCAGGATCCAAGGCACAAAAACTGCTCAGTTTAAGAGGTGAAATGTGCAGGCTGATACTGGAAAACTCTGAGAAGACAGCCTGGCTGACATCTCACTCTGCGTGCAGCCTGCCTGAGGAGCACACCAGCAACACCTCTCGTTTGGTGCCGCTGCTGCCCAAGGGGACCAGGTCATTGCAGTGTCAGGCAACACACAGCAGAGCAGGGTTCCCCCGGTGTGGGATTTCCTGTCCATACTGATCAGGACATGGGGTGCCCAGCAGAAATACAGCCCCACCTTGGGCTGATTGGTCCTACAATCCGTGAAATCACGGGGGTTCAAGAGCTGTGTCCGTGACTTGCCAGAACTGTCATCAAAATTGGAAATAAAACTCCTTAACACCAAATAAAACTCCTTAATACCAAAAATGTGGAAGCGGCCATTCTTTACTGTGGTGTCAGATGCGTGGGGGATTGCTCCATGTAATGCCCATACCCAATACCACACACAGCAGGAAGAATGCTCGCCCCCCTCCAGCTCTGCGCGTGCTCGGGCCGGCAGGCGGTGCCCGGATCGCCGCTTCCGGA